GAAACTGTAGTTTGTTGCGATTATAGGGACGCAGATTTGGAAAGCATAAACACCCAAAAACACGCAGATATGAATAAGATGGAGGAGACCGATGCAAAAGATAATGAGGAGATTTATCAGATAAGACATGAGTGGACATTTTATTGATTAGATAAACCGTAGTTTCAAAAGCATAATCCCAAAAACGAGAAGAAACAGAGGATTGAGCCAATAATGCTAGTCCCGTTTCAACAACATGCCTATGCTTATGTTCTACCCTGCCATTTTGTTCATGAGTATACGCACATGATTGCCTGTGACGAATACCTAAGGACGCAAGAGTGGAACCAAGCTTTTTATATTCTCCCCCTAAATCAGATTGAAAAGAAATAATCTTGCGAGAAAAGGAACGTTCAACTAGTGACCGAAACTTATCAAATATAGCATACAAATCAGATTTAGCACGCATGGGATAATACCACATATAACGAGTGTAATCATCCACAAACAACACAAAATATTTAAAGCCAGACGCAAAAAGTAATGGCGCAGGGCCCCAAATATCTGAATAAATTAATTTTAAAGGATGCGTACTAGTAGTTTCGACACGAGACAAAGGAAAACGAGAAGATTTTCCTAATTGACAAGAGGAACAGACATTGGGAATATCACTAGAATTAAATGTACCAACAGACGAAGATGCTAAAATTTTACGTAAGACTCGAGAATGAGGATGCCCCAACCGCATGTGCCAAACGTAAGAGGACCGTGCAGCAACAAATGCAGCAGGGGAAGCAGAAGACGCAGGCCATGTGTAGAGACCCCCAGACGCATGTCCCTTAAAAAGAACCTTCTTGGTCAAAATGTCTTTCACATAGAAACAAAGAGGGTGGAACTCAAAGAAAACATTATTGTCCTTTGCAAAACGATGGACAGATAATAGAGAAGAAGAGAGACCAGGGACATGCAAAACATCATGTAACTTAAAAGACATCGAATCAGTGGCTAACGAAGCAGAACCAACATTAACAATAGGCAAACTTGTACCATTGCCGACTCGCAGAGTCTCCGGGCCATCATAACTTATCGCAGAAGTCATCAAAGAAGAATCAGGCGTTACATGATTTGTAGCACTAGTGTCAGGGAACCACTGATGAAGACCGTTGGAATCACCATTATAACCAGAGACGACCACATTAGCCTGAAAACCCGGAGCCCCTGAATAACGCCGAAAACAGTTGGCTCCTGTGTGACCAAAACGGTCACAAATTTGACATGGATCATCATAGCGCCAAAAACAATTGGCTCCCGTGTGACCAAAACGGTCACAAATTTGACACGGATCATTATAACGCCAAACACAATTGGCTCTCGTGTGGCCAAAACCGTTACAAATTTGACACGGATCATCAACGTCACGTCGTTGACCGGACCACTTCTGATACGATGTATCTTGGTTTGATGTCATCGGCTACTTCTACGAAGTGAGGAACATGGATGTTGGAAAAGAAACCCCTGGCTAACTGATACCAGATGAGAATATATTTTCTGTATTGAGTTAATTCCACTTTTGGTCCTACATTTATTGGGCATTGGATACATTTTGACCGGTTTAATTAATTTACCCACATTGAACCCAGACTTTTCTAAAGGTGGACAATTTAGGTCCATCGTTACATTAGCTGTTAGATTACCGTGAAGTCGAAGGGCATTTACGTCCTTTCAAGTGCTAGTCGTCCACATCCTTCATTTGTTGACTTTGGTCTTATAAACCCTCCCTAGTCATCAAAGTATATGCGACAATCAGACGAACCAAGAAACCCTTAGACACCATCGAACCAAAACCACCAAACCCTAGCTAAATCGCAAACGAATTCGCATCTATATTGAAGAAATTGGAAACGTAGGACGAATCATTGAACGCCGAAAGCTAGTACGAAGGGACGAAGCAAGATGGATCGTGTCGGAGAAGAAAACAACAATACCCTAGGTAAAATTTGATTTTTTTGTTTATTTGTTATGGGTTGATGTGGTTTGTGTGATTGGAGTATGAATAGGTCAATGTTTATGTTTGTAATGCCTATTTCGCTTGTTTGTGTGATTGGAGCATGTCTGTATGGATTTTTTTTAGTGATTTTGTCCAGTTGCGTAGTATTTGATGATTGTTTGCTTTGTATTGTGGGGTTGTTGTTCCACTTTATTGACAATGACTGAGAGTGTTTCACTTTAAGGCTGAGAATGTTTCACTTTAAGGCTGAGAATGTGAAGTTCTGAATATTTATATGCATTTGGGTGGTAGATGTATGGGCCTGATGCTTTAGAGATATGAATATTTATTGTGGAGTTATGTTATCCCAAAAAAAATTGTTATGTGTACTAATTGTCTTATTGAGGTGTGGACCACATGCCTTTGGCTTGTTGTTGGGTTTCTGTCCAACATTTATATCCATATGGTGGGGATCACAACTGTGTTTGTTAGCAGAAACTTGTGCATTTAGCTTTTTGACTGCCTTTTTTCTTCTCCTAGAAACCATACTCAGATTTGTTACTTAATTTTATTCTTGTGAAATAGATGGAGGAAACCACAATGCTTAGTTCAATCTCAAGTTAAGACATGGTGGTTGCCTTAAAACACATGGTTTAGGATATGTTGGAGGGGTACTTCAGTGTTGTAGTTTGAGCATAGATTTGTGGGGGATGATAACCTTAAGGGAGATAGTGGAGGAATTAGGGTATAACATGTTAGACAAATTCAAATTTTTCACACCTACTGGGACTGGTACCTTATTTGAATTAGTAAATGATAGTGACTGTTGGGCAATATGTGATGTTGGAATGTTTCCCAAGGAAGTTGAGGTCTGGGTGGTAGGTGAGGGTGAGGGTAACCCTTCAGTAGTAGGTGATGGTGACTTAGAGTCTAATGAAGATTTTGAGTATTTTGACTTCAGTGAAGACAGTATGGAAAATGATGACATAGACTTTGAGGGCAATATAGATCCTAATGTGAAGTTTGAAGGAGTAAGAGAAAGCCAGGATGGGAAAGTGACTGAAAGTGAACCAATAATTGAGGTAGGGACTGGGGATGGTCTGCATTTATCTGATGAGGATAGTGGGAAAGATAGTGATGATCAATAGGAGTATAAGTGGCCAATGTATAAGGCAAGAACAGAGGTTAAAATCCCTAAGTTCTCAATTGGACTAACATTTGCAAGTAAGGCTGAATTTAGAGATGCAGTCCACAGCTATGCATTTGGTAATGGCAAGGAATTGAAGTTCACTAAAAATGACAAGAGTAGGATGTGTGTTAGATGTACACAACCTGGCTGCCCTTTTAAAATAAATGTGTGGAAAGTGAAAAATGAATTGTCCTGGAGAATTGCAAGTTTTCATGAAGACCATGATGGTTGTGGATGGGTGTATGAGAACAAAATGGTGAAATCAACAAGGGTTGCAAAGAGATGGATGAAGGAGATTGGGCACAACAGCAACTGGTCAACTGCTGAATTTAGAGATCAGGTTAAATCTGATGAGGGATTTCAGTTCAGTAAGAAGCAAGCATATAGCCCTATGAAAAAAGCCAAGGCTGCCATTGAAGGAGAGGCTATAGAGAATTTCAGCAAAATTTGGAACTACAAATTGGAGATTGAGAGAACTAACCCAAAGACTACATGTCGTGTGAAGGTAACAGATTTGTTGTATGCTGGAAAACCAAGATTTATGAGAATGTACTTCTCTTGGGAGGCTTCTAAGGAGGGTTACAAGTTCTGTAGAAACATGATTGGTGTAGATGGTTGCCATTTAAAACACACATTTGGAGGTCAATTGTTAACTGCTGTGGGAATAGATGGGAATGATAGTATCTTCCCCCTGGCCTATGCATTTGTTGAAGGAGAAACCAAAGACTCTTGGAGCTGGTTCTTGCGGTTGCTTAAGACAGATTTAGAGATCACAAGGGAAGCAGAAGAACAATTAACATTTATTTCAGGTTACTGATTTTGCTTTTATACTTTTCAAATTCTTGTTTGGTTCTTGTAGCTCATTCAGAAACTTACTTTGCTTTTATACTTGCAGACAAACAGAAAGGCCTTCTTCCTGCATTTGAAGGTGTGCTACCAAATGCCTCACACAGATTCTGTGTGAGGCATCTTCATGGCAACATGAAGGTAGCAGGATTTATGGGCAAAGCTATCAAGGATGCATTATGGGCAGCAGCAAAGGCAACAACTGTCAACACTTTCACTGATGGTATGACTAAATTGAAGAATGTAGATGTGGAGGCATATAAATGGCTAGGAGATAAGCACCCTTCAGAGTGGTCAAGGTCCCATTTCACACCCTATGCTAAATGTGATGCATTAGTTAATAATATCTCTGAAAGTTTCAATGCCATGATTTTAGATGCTAGGGAACAACCTCTGATTTCTTCTGCTGAAAGTATTAGAAAATTGTTGATGTGTAAAATATTTGAAAATAGGCAAAAAGCTTTAAAATGGAACGGACCTTTCTGCCCTAACATTATGAAAAAGATTGCAAATGTTGAGCATGCTGCTGGTGGTTGTTTAGGGGTCCAGAGTGATGAAAATCTGTTTGAGATTAAGTGCATGGCAGGGATAGGGGTGTTAGAGCAGCATAGAGTTGATCTTTTCAGGCGTACTTGTAGTTGTAGGAAGTGGGACTTGACAGGGATACCATGTAAACATGTGGTGTGTGCCATAAGGATGAGACATGAAAATGGTCATTTGCATGAGTATGTACACCCTTGCTATTCAATCAACACATACTTGAATACTTATAGTGGGAGGATACACCCAATAGCTGGTCCTAAAGAGTGGCCCAAGTCAACCCAGGAACCACCACTGCCTCCACTCTATAAAAGGAAGCCTGGGAGACCAAAGAAGTTGAGAAAGATGAGCAGATAAGAGATAACCAAAGATGGGACACATATCAACCCTAGTGTGATGATTAAGCATTGTAGGAAGTGCAATAAAAGAGGGTATAACACAAGAACATGCCCTGAAAATATGAGTGGAACACAAACACAGGTAATGATTACTTCTGCTACTGTTGTGCCTTTAATGAATACTTTAAATTCATTCCTTCAATTTCTTGCTATGTAGGTGAATCAAAAAAGAAGGAATACAAAGAAGAAAACTGCTGCTGCTGCTGCCAGTGTGCCTCCTACTGTGCCTCCAACTGCCAGTGTGCCTCCTGTTGTGCCTCCAACTGCCAGTGTGCCTCCTGCTGTGCCTCCAACTACTGATGTGCCTACTGTTGTGCCTGTAACTGCTGATGTGCCTACTGCTGTGCCTCCCACCGATGGATCAATCATAGAGGAAATTCAACATTTCTGGAATGAAGCTGAAAGAGTAGCATCTTTGTTTGACATTCAAATTGGAGTTCAACCTCAGCATGAAGAAATAACAATCACTCAGCCAGACATTGGAGTTGACACCACTCAGCTAGAACAACAACCTTTGTCTCAGTCTGGACCACAAATGACATCAAGGAAGACCTCAACAGTGGCAAACACTTCATATCGTCGTAGGACAAGATCCACAACCACATTAAGGTCCAAATTCAGTAACACCAAGGACGACCCTCTAAACCTGGATTGAAGATGTTTGGTTACTATTAAGTCTAAATTAGTGTTGACATCTACTACAATGTATTTTTTTTTTTTTTTTTGCTACTGATCTAATGTTTTGCTACAAATTAACCTAAATGTTTGGGTACTGTTTAGAATGTTATGTATTTTTTATGATTAGAATGTTATTAGCCAGAATGTTAGTATATGGCCATAACTTTGGGCAGATTGTTATGTATTTATGGTCTGAATGTTAGTAATGGATGTTATGATTTTTGTGGTTAGTATGTTTGCAGATTGTTATGTATTTATGGTCTAAATATTAGTAATGGATGTTATGTTTTTTGTGGTCTGTATGTTTGCAAAGCAATTGGATGTTGATAAACCGTATGCCATAGACCATAAGGCATAAGCCAACAACCAAAAACCATAAACCATAAACCAAACATAAGATACCAACCAACACTGCCATTGCCAAAGAAAATAAACCATAGTCCATAAGGCATAAGCCAACAACCAAAAACCAAAAACCAAACATAAGATACCAACCAACACTGCCATTGCCAAACAAAATAAACCACAGTCCATAAGGCATAAGCCAACAACCAAAACCCAAAAACCATAAACCAAACATAAGCCTTCAACCAACACTGCCATTGCCTACCCTTAACCACACATTACAATTCAATCTTATGGGAGCATATACACATTCTTGCCTACCCCTAAGCTCCCATTGCTCCCTACAATAATTCTAAAATAAACAATTATGACAAGAATCACACCAACTAGGAGAACCATCCTCATGGATGTACATTTTCCACTCCTACGCATCTCTTTTATTTCAGTATCCCCTCTTGGTAGACTTCTCTGCTTGGATTTTAACTTTACTATTTCATCTTCATGTTTGTTAATTCTTCTCAATAGCCTGTGTATAATCCTCTTTGACCTAGGGCACATTGGTGGATCATACCACTTCATGAATCCATAACCTGATCCATCCTGAAAAATTACCCCAAAACAAACATTTTTCTTCTACAAATTAGCAATCCCCTTACTCGTACAGAGTACCTTAAATTAACCGAAATATACAAAATTACAAAGTAATTACTAACCTTATGTCTTGAACACTCCCAATACCTCCTACCCGGATTTTCATCTGTCCATGATGTTCTCAAAACCATTTCTTCACCACATTCACATACTTCAATCGAAATCGATTCCCCATACAAATAACACTTTCTCCTTGTTGTTGATGAACTCGAACAGTTGAAGCTTTCCCCTTTAGAACCTTGCATCTTGTTTCGTCTCTTCGTATCCAAGAAGCTGCTACACTCGGGTTTCGTCGGTGGGGAGATGGCGCTCACAGTCGTTCTAGGGAGAGTTTATAAGACCAAAGTCAACAAATGAAGGCTGTGGACGACTAGCAATTGAAAGGACGTAAATGCCCTTCGACTTCACGGCAATCTAACAACTAATGTAACGATGGACCTAAATTGTCCACCTTTAGAAAAGTCTGGGTTCAATGTGGGTAAATTAATTAAGCCGGTCAAAATGTGTCCAATGCCCAATAAATGTAGGACCAAAAGTGGAATTAACTCTTTTGTATTCAATAATAATGTCTGAGAGTACAGGGAGCGAATATATAGAGATGCTAGATATAATCCTAGTCTAACACGAATAATATAGTCCTAGTCTAATATGAATAATATAGTCCTAGTCTAATATGGATAATAGAGTCCTAATAATTGACACTCTTATATAAAGCTTATTATACAATTAACCAACCAATAAATCTTTATTACCATTGACATGTAAGTCGCTATAACAAATTTCAAGAAATTCTAAACAAATAATCACTAATCAGTCTAACCCAAAAAAAAGAAAAAAAAAAGAAAAAAAAAAAAGAGGAACAATGACCTTACAAATGAAAACAATATACAAAATAATTTTGAGTAAGATTCAAATCTAAAATTTAGGATTTTTAAAAGGGAAGTGTTGTTAACAAGTAATGAAATTAAAGTCTTAGTGTCAGGTGCAAATACGTATCAGTTTGAATATAATACATATTTAAAGACACTTTTTATAATTATGATATATTTAAAATACTTCGTGATCTGACTAAAAATTATTAGTGAAACAAGTAGATGGCCGGGCAAGTCAATTCACTATAATGCCTCATAATAATATCTTTTATTTTATTTTATATTTTTAGGCAACATAAAATGATGAAAAAGGATGTCCTACTTGTACTTGCTGGACTTCCAAGATATGAAAGTAATCGGACTATAATTTTGGAGGCATATCTTTTCATGTTGCTTAAAGACAGCTTTCTTTTTGTTATTATGATACGCATTATGCATAATATATATATATATATATATATATATATATATATATATATATATATATATATATATATATATTTGACTGGGTCATTATTACATTAAAAAGTAAAGATTAAAATATAATATTTTAAAAATTATATATATAGGACCTACTTCTCGGGAGAAGATAAAAATTTGTCTGCAATTATCTCACGAATCTTAGTTCATGAAACTGGTCGGGTCAAAATTAAATGTAATACTAATAAAGAATAAATTATAGAATGTTTATTTATTATAGGGGAAAATGTAATACTTTTGAAAAAAAATGTAACACTTTTGAACAAACACTTGTTACCCTTGAAAATGTAATACTTTTAATGGAAAACGTAATACTTTTACATTAAAATGTTAAAGTATTACATTTGTCTTCAAAAGTATTACATTTTCCCTTATAAGTAACAACCACTTATTTTTAATTAGTATTATATTTTTCAGTATAAGTATTAATGTTCATATTGACTCGATCCGTCTCACGAATAACGATCCGTGAGACGGTCTCACACAAGTGTGACCTTCGGAAGAATTAGTTTCTATGTGAAGACATGTGAACTAATTTTATCTATCCATCTAGCTAGAAAATAAGGAAAACAATAAAGAAAAAAAAATATGATGACATTTTCATAATTGTTATGGTGTATTTAGAAACACTAAATATTGCATCTATGCATAACTAATAGTGCGCGCATTTGAGTGCACTATTATAGATCTTGAGTGCACTGTATTATTTGTGAATGCATTATCAAGCATTTTCAAATGCATCATAATAATTACTGAAATGACACTGTATTTTTTCTCAATTTCTAGTCATTGATCATACTAGATGAACGAATTAGATTATTCTGCACATTCTCATGGGAGCAAAACGCTATATATATAACATTTTAATGTCAAACAAATACATTGGAGAATCACTCTTGGTGAAAGCGTGTGGTCTAATCTTGTGCGTTCATTTTTTTTTTTTTGGATGACTTAGATTTAATTTACTAAGATGGCATGGATTGACCTTCTCTCTTTTTTTTTTCTTTTTTTTTTCTTTTTTTGTAACTACTACAAATATAACCAGATTTGTTTCTTATTTTCTTGAATCATAATTGTTGTGAATTGGAGCTACAATTTCTTCATCATCGATTGAATGTTCATCCATGGAAAGTGATCAATAATTTTTATTTTTTCCCGCTTATTTTTTTTGAGTATAATATTGCTTATATTTGGATGTCGATATATATATATATATATATATATATATATATATACACACACACACACACATTTTGGGTAGTAATGTTGTGGATTTGGTTGTGCAACACAATGTTTTGAGTTGTGCATCATATGCTAGTGAGATGTGCATTAGCGCGCTTAGTGCGGTGCATCGTAATATTGTTGAAAAATATGTGATTTTAGGAGGGGAGTGCATCGTAGGCTATCGAGTTGTGCCTTGTGGCGCTAGGTGTGGTGCCTCATAAGACTGTTAGTTGTGCATTGATTAGGTATTAGTGCATCGCTGTTATAGTTGTTGTGGTGCATTATACTGTTGTTACGAATTTTTTATCATTGAGTTTTATTTTTTGACTTCTAAGTGTGGGTGTTAATATTAGTAATTAAAAATAGTTGTTTGTTTCCATCAATATCGTTAGAGAAGAAACATGTATGGAAATTGTAGTGCGGAAAGATTATTTTCCTTTTCTATGCAATTGGTTGTTGTTTGGAAGACTAATTTGCCCTTGGACAAATATTCTTTAATATTTTATTCTACTAATTTTCTTAATCTAAACATATTTGTTGGTTTAATCACAGTCGTACATCATTTGTTTTTAATGGTCCATATTAGGTCACACGTTCTCATCTAGAAAGTGGTTCTCATGGGAGCCGGGCCCTATATATATATATATATATATATATATATATATATATATATGGTTGCATTCAAATACAAACCACCTTAAAATACAAACTCCCCTTAAAATACAAACATGAGCTCGTGCACACATTAACATACTTACATGCACACACGCGTAGGAGGAAAAATCACAACCATCCATCAAAGCTCGTGCACACATTAACATACTTACATGCACACAACGCGCAGGGGGAAAAAATCAGGACCGTCCAATACCACCATCCAACGATGTCAAATTGTCCACAGGTTTTTATTTTAAGATGTGTTTTTACCTGAATGTAATTCTATATATATATATATATATATATATATATATATATATATATATATATATATATATATATATATATAGTAGGGTTCCAATGAGAATACTTGCTTAGGTGAGAGCGTGAGAACAAATCGTGTGCATCCATCTAATATTTTTTAATGGTCTAGATTAGATAATTGTGTGTGAACGCAAATTAAATGTGTGCAAACACACTTAATCGCGTTTGCACACATTCAATTCGCGTACGCACACACTAAATCTAATTTAGACCATTAAAAAATATTAGATGGATGCACATGATTTGTTCTCACTTTCTCACCTAAGCAAGTGTTTCTCATATGACCCTATATATATATATATATATATATATATATATATATATATATAGAGAGAGAGAGAGAGAGAGAGAGGGGTTTGGGATCCCGTGTAAAGTATTCCTCTAGTGAAAATTAGGGTGAAGTAGCAGGCATAGATATATCTTG